TTCTCAACACTTTTTTTGTTGTTGTTTTATTTTTACTTTTTATTGTTAAAAATAAATGCACTGTTGGTTAAGGGCTGTAAGTAAGCATTTCACTGTAATATCTGCACCTGTTGTATTCGGCGCATGTGACCAATACAATTTGATTTGATTTGATTTGATTTGATTTGAGAACGATCTAAGAATGTTATTTAAAAACATATACATTCCATTCTCAGCATTAACAAAACTCTCTCTATCCTCTGTCGTGTTAAGTGTGTTTAGGTGTGTTGGTCGCAGCCGCTAACTGGCTACATCTGATCTTAATGAGTGCTTGTTTCATTTGAAATTGGGTCTGTTTGAATAGACTGAAATGAACAGCTTTGAATGTGTTAAAACACGGCATGCTAGCTTCATCCTGGTGGTGTAGAGGACTAATTCCATGGATAGAGAACAGAAGATTATAGGTCCCAATCTCACTGATGCCGTGTCACAATAAAAAAGAAATGTGTTTGCATGATTAATACCTAAGGAAATTCATTTCCATGTGTGCTATTTGCACTTAGAGTAATAAAAAAAAAGCTTACTCAAAATAAGCTAGCAGTGTTAAGCTTTCACTGAATGTTATCTAAACATTCAGTGAAAGTTTTAAGGAAGTTATTCAAAAACCTCAAAAAAACTTATAATTTCCGTTAAAAAAAACCTCCCAGGAAAACTTTAAGGGAACGATAGTAAAAGGTTCTCAGAACCTCCCTGCAACCTAAACATTTACATTCCCAGAACAGGTGAAATTTACACTTGCGTTCTCAAAACTTTTAAACTTTCAGTTTTTACCGGTCAGGAAACTTATGGCTTCGTTCCCAGAACCAATGGGAAACCAAAAACATACATCCCCACAACTTCCATGGAACCAAATGTGCTAAATGGGAATGTTTCTGAAAAAGATCAGCACCAAATAAGGTGGAATATTGGGATAAAATACATTCCTATTGAGTCATCAAACAACTTTCAATAGTCCTAACAATACTACAATACTACAATACTACAATACTACAATACTACAATACTACAATACTACAATACTACGACTCTTCTCTGACCTCGACAACCGCAACTTCACCCTGGCAACCATGCTAGAGGTGTGTGTTGGGATCTGTGTGTCACAGCAGGGTGTGTGTGTTGTGTGTATGTTGTGTGTGTGTTGTATGTGTGTATGTTGTGTGTGTGTTGTATGTGTGTGTGTGTTTGTGTGTTGGTGTGTGGGGGGGTGTGTGTTGTATATGGGGTTGTGTGTTGTGTGTGGTAATGTGTGTGTTTGTGTATGTGTTGTGTGTTTGTTGGTTGTGTGTGTGTGTTGTGTGGTTTATTGTGTGTGGTGTGTGTGGTGTTGCCGTGTGTGTGGTGTTGCGTGTGTTGTGTTGCGTGTTTGTGGGTTTGTGTGTGTTTTTGTGTTGTGTTTGGTAGGTATGTGTGTGTGTGTGTGTGTGTGTTTGTGGTGTGTGTTGTGTGTGTGTTGTATTTGTGGTGTTGGTGGGTGTGTGTGTGTGTTGTTGGCGGGTGGTGTGTGTGTGTGTGTTGCGTGTGTGTGTGTTTGTGTGTTGGTGTGTGTGATTGTGTGTTGTTAACTGTGTGTGTGTGTGTAGTGTGTGTTGTGTGTGTGATGGGTGTGTGTGGTGTTGTGTGTGTGTGTGTGTTTGTGTGCAATTTTGTAAGCCCCGTTGTTTTTTTGGTTTTTTGCCCCGTTTGGGGGGGTTTTGGGGGCCTGGTTCCCCGGGCTTGGCCCCCTTGGGGCCCTTTCCCCCTTTGGAAACCCTTGTTGTGGGGTTTGCCGGGGTGGGGGCCCGTTTTTTGGGGGGGGTGGGGGGTTTGATGTGGGGGGTTTTCGTGTGGGTGTGGGGGTGTGTGTTTGGGGTTCCCCCCTCCCTTTGTCCCCCTTTTTTCTTTGTTTCTCCCCGGGCCCTTTCGGTTTGTTTTTCCCCCTTCCCCCCCGTAGGCCTTCCCCCCAAACCCCTGTTGGGGTTTTTTTGTATGGCATTAACTCCAAACATGTTAAATTTGGGTTTTTGTTTTAAACCATTAACCCAAGGTAAAAGGGGTTTAGGTTTTTGGGGTAAGGTTTTAAAACAACATCGAAAAAAAACTTTCTATTGCTGGGTTTGAAAATTCCAACCTTTTTGAATCAGAGGCAGACGCCCTATCAAAATCGAAACCCACCTGAAGGTAACAGCGCTCACTGTTGCCCCCTAGTGGTCGGTTTCCGCGTCATCTCCAGACGTCCTCAGGACTACTGACTTGTATCAAGGGTGACCTGGCTGGTGTTGACTGTACTGAACCAAGTGTGAGGATCTCACTCTCACTCATTATTATCAACAGTAGTGTCAAAGAACATAAGAACATGACATGCATAAATACATCCCCTAAGGCTGAGCAAGTTAATCATTACATTACTGACTGACTGACACACACACACACACACACACAGTCTTGCGCAGCTAACCTTGTGGGGACATACAATTCAGTCCCATTCAAAATCCTATTTTCCCTAACACCTAACCCTAAACCTAACCCGTACCCTTACCCTAACCTTAACCCAAAAACCTAACCTTAACCCTAACCCTAAACCTAACCGTAGCTCTTAACCCTAACCCTAAAACTAACCCTATCTCCTAACCGTAACCCTTAACCTAATTCTAACCCTAACACTAATTCTAACCTTAACCCTAAACCCGCTAGAAATAATATTTGACCTTGTGGGGACCAACAAAATGTCCCCAGTTGGTCAAATTTTTCTTGGTTTATTATTCTAGAATTCCCCATGAGTATAGTTAAACACGTCAACACCACACACACACACACACACACACACACACACACACACACACACACACACACACACCCCTCTACTGAGGCGTTGTCTATAAAAGCCGCCACCCAATTTCTGAGGAGGAAGAGGAAGCAGAGACAGAACAGGACTAGTCTCACTCAGCGCAGAACACACGCACTCACACAAATTATCTCCACAGTTACACACACTCCTAGGACATGAACACTCTCATCCTCTCCTCTCTGCTGTGTTTGGGTAAGTAGTCTGGGCTTTGTACAATCATTTGGTTATTGTCTATTGTGTTTAGTTTGGACCAGGACTGGATAAACGGGTGAGCTGGGTTGGAGAGAAGAGTACAGATGTTTGTTGAGGGAAGAAGCCTACAGGGACGGACAGGCAGAGAGATGGAGTGGAGAGATCTCCATTAGCCGACGCCAATGGCGACAGCTAGTCTTACCGGGGTCTGACACGTAACGAAAAATACATTACAGACTACTTTACACTTTACATACATTTTAAAAACAAGAACATGTCATGTGCCTGGAAGCGTGTGTTTATCTATCAGTCACACATACATGTCAGTACATACACACAACAAGTAGGTCACGTGGGGGGGGGAGGCGTTGTGCCTTGTTGCTTTGTGTTTGTGCCTTGTTTTTTTTTAACCAGGTTTGCTGTTCACGATATGAGATGAGATGAGAGAGAGACTATGAACTATTTGCACATCATTATAACACTGTACCTACCTAGCCATAATATGACATTTGAAATGTGTCTATTCCTTTGAACTTGTGTTACTGTTTAATTTTTGATTGAATTAGAGAGAGAGAGAGAGAGAGAGGGAGAGAGGGTAGGAGAGAGAGATAAGAGAAATAGATTAGCCCCAGAAATAATTTCCCCTGATTCCCTTTTCTTCTCTCTCCTAAACCTCGCTCTCTTCTCTCTCCTCCCTTCCCCCTCTACTTCTCTCTCTCTCTCTCTCTCCTCTCTCTCTCCCCTCTCTCTTCTCTCTCGCTCTCCCTCTCTCCTCTCGTCTCTCTCTCTCGGTCTGCTCTCTCTCTCTCTTTCTCCCCCTCCTCTCTCGCCTCTCCTCCTCTTTCCCTCTCTCCTCTCGCTCTCTCTCCCCCCCTTTTCTCTCTCTCTCTCTCTCGTTCCCCCCCTCCCTCTCTCTCTCTCCTCTCCCTCTCTCTCGCTCCGCTCTCTCTCTCTCTCTCTCTCTCCTCTCTCTCCCCTTCTCTCTCCCTCCGTCTCCCCTCTCTCTCTCCCTCTCGCTCTCTCTCCTCTGCTCTCCCCTCTCTCTCTCTCTCTCTCTTCTCTCCTCTCGCTCTCTTCTCTCTCTCCCGTCTCTCTCTTCTCTCTCTCTCTCGCTCTCTCTCTCTCTCTCTCTCTCTCTCTCTCTCCTCTCTCTCTCTCTCTCTCTCTCCTCTCTCTCTCTCTCCTCTCTCTCTCTCTCGCTCTCTCTCTCTCTCTCTCTTCTCTCTCTCTCTCTCTCTCTCTCTCTCTCTCTCTCTCTCTGCTCTCTCTCTCTCCTCTCTCGTCTCTCTCTCTCTCTGCTCTCTCTCTCTCTCTCTCTCTCCTCTCTCTCTCTCTCTCTCTCTCTCTCGCTCTCTCGCTCTCTCTCTCTCTCTCTCTCTCTCTCGCTCTCTCTCTCTCTCTCTCTCGCCTCTGCTCCTCTCTCTCTCTCTCTCTCTCTCTCTCTCTCTCTGCTCTCCTCTTCTCTCTCCTCTCTCCTCTCTCTCTCTCTCTCTCTGCCTCTGCTTCTCTCTAGCTCCTCTCTCTCTCTCCTCTGTTAGACCCGAGAAGCTGTTCACACCTGTTAAGACTTGGTCAGCATGGCCCATCTGTGTGATGTCCCATAATGCTAATATTAAATTGAAGTATTGGGTGCCTTAGATCCTTCCTGGTGTGTGGTCAAGGGTGTTTGTGTCTGCAACTGCTCTGTGTGTGACCGGTTTGGTCTGCTTGCAGTCTTGATTGATATGTATGATTGGAGTTTCCTGGTCTGTAACTTTGTAGTCACTCTGGGTCTGTGCAGATTTAAAAGGACGTGGTGTTTCTTAGTTTGTAGTTTTCAATGCTCTGTGTTTGACTGGTGTGGTCTGTTTGTAGGTTTTTCAGTGCTCTGTGTTTGACTGGTGTGATCTGGTTGTAGTTTCAGTGCTCTGTGTTTAGACTGGTGTGGTCTGGTTGTAGTTTTCAGTGCTCTGTGTTTGACTGGTGTGGTCTGGTTGTAGTCTTTAGCGCATTAGGTGTCCTGGGATCCGCGGTGACGTTATCGGCAGGGCTGAGCCATGTGACGGGGGCGTTGGCCTCTGGGGAAGGGGAGGGGCTACAGAGCTCTCTGGGCGAAGAGGATGAGGAGGAACTGGAGCTGGATGAAGATCTGTCGGGAGGTTCACCTACAGATGGCTCACCCCAAGGTAGGACTGTCAGACAACCCCTCACCCCTAACCCCTCACCCCTACCCCCTCTCTCCAATCTGTCTCCATCTGTCTCCATCTGGCCCCATCTGTATCCATATCTCTCCCATCTTTCTCCATCTGTCTCCCATCTGTCTTCATCTGTCTCCATCTCTCTCCATCTGTTTCCATCTCTCTCCCATCTGTCTCCATCTGTCTCCATCTGTCTTCATCTGTCTCCATATGTCTCCATCTATCTCCATATGTCTCCATCTATCTCCATATGTCTCCATCTATCTCCATCTATCTCCATATATCTCCATCTATCTCCATATGTCTCCATCTCTCTCCATATGTCTCCATCTATCTCCATATGTCTCCATCTATCTCCATATGTCTCCATCTATCTCCATCTATCTCCATATGTCTCCATCTATCTCCATATGTCTCCATCTATCTCCATCTATCTCCATATGTCTCCATCTATCTCCATCTATCTCCATATGTCTCCATCTATCTCCATCTATCTCCATAGTACTCCATCTATCTCCTATGTCTCCATCTATTCCATTGTCTCCATCTATCTCCATCTATCTCCATATGTCTCCATCTGTCTTCATCTGTCTCCATATGTCCATCTATTCCATATTTCTCATCTATCTCCATATGTCTCCATCTATCTCCATCTATCTCCATAGTATCTCCATCTATCTCCATTTCTCACTGTCTCCATATGTCTCCATTATCTCCATTGTCTCCATATGTCTCCATCTATCTCCATATGTCTCATCTATCTCCATATGTCTCCATCATCTCATCTTCTCCATGATCTCCATCTATCTCATATGTCTCCATCTTCTCCATAGGTCTTCCATCTATCTCCATATGTCTCCATCTATCTCCATATGTCCATCTATCTCATATGTATCTCATCTATCTCCATCTATCTCCATATGTCTCCATCTATTCCTATGTCTCCATCTATGCTCATCTATCTCCATATGTCTCATCTATCTCCATCAATCTCCATACTCTCCATCTATCTCCTCTATACTCCATATGTCTCCTTATCTCCATATGTCTCCATATCTCCATATCTCATCTATCTCCATCTATCTCCATATGTTTCCATCTATCTCCATATGTCTCCATCTATCTCCATATGTCTCCATCTGTCTCCATCTATCTCCATATGTCTCCATCTATCTCCATATGTCTCCATCTATCTCCTATCTCCATATGTCTCCATCTATCTCCATCCCCATATGTCTCCATCTATCTCCATATGTCTCCATCTATCTCCATATGTCTCCATCTATCTCCATCTATCTCCATATGTCTCCATCTATCTCCATATGTCTCCATCTGTCTCCATATGTCTCCATCTATCTCCATATGTCTCCATCTATCTCCATAGTCTCCATATCTCCATATGCTCCTCCATCTAATCTCCATATGTCTCCATCTATCTCTCCATATGTCTCCATCTATCTCCATGTCTCCATCTATCTCCATATGTCTCCATCTATCTCCATATGTCTCCATCTATCTCCATATGTCTCCATCTGTCTCCATATGTCTCCATCTATCTCCATCTGTCTCCATCTATCTCCATATGTCTCCATCTATCTCCATATGTCTCCATCTATCTCCATATGTCTCCATCTATCTCCATATGTCTCCATCTGTCTCCATATGTCTCCATCTATCTCCATCTGTCTCCATCTATCTCCATATGTCTCCATCTATCTCCATATGTCTCCATCTGTCTCCATATGTCTCCATCTATCTCCATATGTCTCCATCTATCTCCATATGTCTCCATCTGTCTCCATATGTCTCCATCTGTCTCCATATGTCTCCACCTGTCTGTAATATTAAAGGATAGTAAACCTGTGGTTTCCCAGCAGTGCTGCGTCCCAGTAAAGACCAAAAAAGAAAGAGGAAGAGTCAGAAAGGAAAGAGGAAGAACAGGAACGATAGTAACAATAGCACCACAACCTTCAATCCTGAACACACATCAGGACACACGCCGGAGTTCACGACACACCAGACGTCAGGGCGTGTTACAGAGGACCCTTGTAGCTCCTCCCACCAGGCATACTGTATCCACGGAAACTGCAAGTACATGGCGGACCTGAGAGAGCCAGTGTGTGTGTGAGTACAACACAAATCTACTTTTAGTACAATGTGTGTGTGTGTGTGTGTGTGTGTGTGTGTGTGTGTGTGTGTGTGTGTGTGTGTGTGTGTGTGTGTGTGTGTGTGTGTGCGGATGGATGGATGATGGATGGATTTAAGGAAGGAAGGGTTGATGGATTGATGGATGGGAATGATGGATTGGATAGATAGACTGATTCATTGATTCATTGATTGACTGACCAATTGTTTGATTGACTAACTGACTGACTGACTTATGTTTTGATTTATTGATTGATAGATGAGTTGATTTATTAATTGATTGATCCTCTCCCCTGCAGGTGTGAGAGGGGTTATGACGGCGAGCGCTGTGGTATCCTGCTCCTGCCTACGAGGAACGACGAAGAGGAGGAGAGCAGCAGAGCTGAGGTGGTTCAGACTGTTCTGGTCATCATAGCTGTGGTCCTCTCCAGCATCAGCTGCCTCGCCATACTACTCTTGACCTGCGCACAGTGAGTATAGACCTAATACAACCATAACACAACATTAACACAACCATAACACAACATTAATACAACCATAACACAACATTAACACAACCATAACACAACATTAACACAACCATAACACAACATTAACACAACCATAACACAACATTAATAAAAACCATAACACAACCGTAACACAACCCAACCATACTACTCATGACCTGCGCACAGTGAGTATAGACCTAATACAACCATAACACAACATTAATACAACCATAACACAACACTAAAAGCTACTACAAGCTTCACTCCGTTGATCTATGTGCGTGCGGATGGAGTGGGATTTTTGGAGCAGCGGACACCTTTTGGTAGCATGATATCCGCACCGGTCCCACTCCCATTCACAAAGTGGAAAGCAAGGAAGCCTTCCCTTTGATCATCTACAGATCTCTGATAGAGCCGGTGGAATGAACTGAGAGGGCAAGAACAAGATGTATGTCAGGAGAAGTGGAGTATTATCACAAGGAGACGTATACTTGGAATACGGAGGAGGAGGAATGGAGGGAAAAAGAGAGGAAGTGAGGAAGAAGGTGAGTTGGGTAAAAATGGAGGAACAAAGGGAGATGGTTTTTTGAAAAATAATGGTAGAAGGTGTAAGCAGAGTGAGTCGTACGCCGGATCGAGGTCTGGAGGAGAAATGGAAGTGAATGAGGGCGAAGTATCAGAGGTGGCAGGTGTGGTGAAGTTCTCTGAGCCCGAGGCTAGCACCGAGGGTCAGGAGAAAGATGAGTCTGTGACGGTAGGAGTGAAGTTTTTGGAGAAGGCGGACCCTTGTCTTTTGGCTGATCCCGTTGTGGTGTCAGGGTGGGTGAAAACAGAGTTGGGTGCTGTGGAATCGGTGAGGGTAACCAGAAGTGGTCTGGTGATAATTGTTTGTGTTTCTGCTGGTCAGAGGGAGCAGGCGCTCCATGTTAAATTAATGTTGACAAGAGATGTGAATTGTTTTGCGCTCAAGAAAAGGGCGCCATTGAAAGGAGTGATTACTGGGGTAGCGGTAAATGTGAAAGTTGACCAACTGAAGGGGAAGATTCCCGGTGTTTGTGATGCTCGTCGTTTGGTGCGATGCAGACAGAAACAGAAGAGTCGTTGTCTGTTGAGTCTCTGCCCGACAAAGTGATGTTAAGATGTTTCAGTTATCCCGTACGAGCTTATGTGCAGAATACTTTACGTTGTTACAGGTGTCAAGCTTATGGGCATGTGACAGCAGTGTGTAGGAGGGAGGTTCCTAGGTGTGAGAAGTGTGCAGAAGGGCATGAGACAAAGGAATGTGTAGCATTGGGGAAAGTAGTGGTATGTGCTAATTGTAGGGGTGCCCATGGGGCTGGGGATCAGAAGGGTCCGGTGCGAGAGAGGCAGGTTGAGGTTACCAGGGTTAGAGTAGAGCAGAGGGTGTCATATGCTGAGGCAGTGAAGAAAGTTGAGGAAGATGGGTCAAGGGGGAGGGATCCAGAGAGGAGTGGTGTGAGTAGTAGATCTGTACCAGTACAGAGGGATAGGCCAACAAGTGATATACTGTATGCTTCAGTAAGATTGGCTTTTTGGCGTTCACAGCAATGGTGAGCAACTGTACTGCAGGGATGGAACGTAAGTCACAGAAAATAGACGTTGTGGTGGCCAGTTGCGGATAAGTATTTGGGTGTACGAGATTTGACGTCAGAAGAGTTACAGGATGTGTCGAGTGGTGGTGTCCCGTCCCGTCCTTTCATTCTGTTGGCCTGAGGTAGGACTAAATAGTGGAGTAGGGTGGTGGGTTTTTAATGAGTGTAGGGTTAGATGGTAGAGTATTTGTTGATTTATTTTCCTTTTTTTCAAGCAAAGTATAAGGGAGTTATACTCCAGTCTAGTTGATAATGCAACGTTTATTGGATGCCAACCGCCATTAAACCTCATCGAATAAGAAGAAGCCTTCCCTTGCTAGTAGTAGCTAGCTGCCTTTAGCCTGGCTAGCTGCCTTTAGCCTGGCTAGCTGCCTTTAGCCTGGCTAGCTGCCTTTAGCCTGGCTAGCTGCCTTTAGCCTGGCTAGCTGCCTTTAGCCTGGCTAGCTGCCTTTAGCCTGGCTAGCTGCCTTTAGCCTGGCTAGCTGCCTTTAGCCTGGCTAAAAACATAGCAAGCTAGCTAGCCTTTTTAGCTTCCCTCATCTCCATCTGAAATAATCAGATTTATATAATTTAAGAAATATGCCCCGGCAAATATTTGTATACTTATCGGTGTATCCTAAAACATTATCCCAGTTTGATATGCTGCTTGTGTATTAATTCCCATATTAGCTAAAAATAGAACATCCTCATGTTTTGGTCAAAGAGAAAAATAGCACATGGCTAGCTAGTTGGCTACAGCAGGTTCTACCGTTTCACAACAGCCTGGAATCAGTAGTTATTACTTCGAAACAAAATACCTTTTGGGTGGATAATTGTTGTTTGGTTTACTGTTTGAACAGTCGCTGAGATTATATTTTGCTATCAATGCAAAATAGGCTACTTTGATGAATAGCCTATAGATCAGATCAAGGAACCAAGCGACAACTCTGCCCCCACGGCTGCGGGAAGGAATCATACGGCGTGTCTCAATTTTCAGGTAGAACAAAAGTACGTTGAATGCCGGAGCGTATTACAAGGAGCCGGCCCTTTTGTGGCGTAAAAAACGACATTGCAACACTGCACTACGCTCCAAATCCTGCGTCTCCATAGAGCTTGTAGTGAGTTTCACACAACCTAACACAACACAACCGTACTGCTCATGACCTGCAGACAGTAAGTATAGACGTAATACAACCATAACACAACGTTAATACAACCATAACACAACCATAATGCAACCCAACCGTACTGCTCATGACCTGCAGACAGTAAGTATAGACGTAATACAACCATAACACAACGTTAATACAACCATAACACAACCATAATGCAACCCAACCGTACTGCTCATGACCTGCACACAGTGAGTATAGACCTAATACAACCATAACACAACGTTAATACAACCATAACACAATGTTAAGACAACCATAACACAACTTTAATACAACCATAACACAACGTTAATACAACCCAACCATACTGCTCATGACCTGCGCACAGTGAGTAACAATGACACAACGTTAATACAACCATATCACAACTTTAACACAATGTTAACACAACCCTAATTCAACCATAACACAACTTTAACATAATGGTAGTGACACGAACACTCCAAAACAGCCCTTACCTCAACATAATGCATCATTAAAACCCCTGAACACACCCCTACAAACCCTTATACACCCCCTCACCCACACTGACATACCTTGATATTGCTCAAGACGATATCAAGGCAATACCTTTATAACTATAAGAATTCATATATTTACTTGGACATAGCCTGATGCATACAAAGGTAGACTTAGCACACACACACTGGGATACACACAGACGCTCCATACCTTATCAATCAGTAACCCTATTATCTAATTTACTAGTATCGTCTGAATGAGGGACAAAGTCAACAGTCCAAGTCAGAGCAAATATAATAAATGGGCCTGGGATTCCTCATAAAGGCCTACAGTTTTTACTGTTCAGATAGGAGATAGCAGTGGTCTGGTTCAGACAGGAGAGAGCAGTGATCTGGTTCAGATAGGAGATAGCAGTGGTCTGGTTCAGACAGGAGAGAGCAGTGATCTGGTTCAGACAGGAGATAGCAGTGGTCTAGTTTAGATAGGAGATAGCAGTGGTCTAGTTTAGACAGGAGAAAGCAGTGATCTGGTTCAGACAGGAGAAAGCAGTGGTCTAGTTCAGATAGGAGATAGCAGTGGTCTGGTTCAGACAGGAGAGAGCAGTGGTCTAGTTTAGACAGGAGATAGCAGTGGTCTGGTTCAGATAGGAGATAGCAGTGGTCTGGTTCAGATAGGAAAGAGCAGTGGTCTGGTTCAGATAGGAGATAGCAGTGGTCTGGTTCAGATAGGAGATAGCAGTGGTCTGGTTCAGATAGGAGATAGCAGTGGTCTGGTTCAGATAGGAGATAGCAGTGGTCTGGTTCAGATAGGAGATAGCAGTGGTCTGGTTCAGATAGGAGATAGCAGTGGTCTAGTTTAGACAGGAGATAGCAGTGGTCTGGTTCAGACAGGATAGAGCAGTGGTCTGGTTCAGATAGGAGATAGCAGTGGTCTGGTTCAGATAGGAGATAGCAGTGGTCTGGTTCAGATATGAGATAGCAGTGGTCTGGTTCAGACAGGAGATAGCAGTGGTCTGGTTCAGACAGGAGATAGCAGTGGTCTGGTTCAGACAAGAGAGAGCAGTGGTCTGGTTCAGATAGGAGATAGCAGTGGTCTAGTTCAGACAAGAGAGAGCAGTGGTCTGGTTCAGATAGGAGATAGCAGTGGTCTAGTTCAGATAGGAGATAGCAGTGGTCTGGTTCAGACAGGATATAGCAGTGGTCTGGTTCAGATAGGAGATAGCAATGGTCTGGTTCAGATAGGAGATAGCAATGGTCTGGTTCAGATAGGAGATAGCAGTGGTCTAGTTCAGACAGGAGAAAGCAGTGGTCTGGTTCAGATAGGAGATAGCAGTGGTCTGGTTCAGACAAGAGAGAGCAGTGGTCTGGTTCAGATAGGAGATAGCAGTGGTCTAGTTCAGACAAGAGAGAGCAGTGGTCTGGTTCAGATAGGAGATAGCAGTGGTCTAGTTCAGATAGGAGATAGCAGTGGTCTGGTTCAGACAGGATAGAGCAGTGGTCTGGTTCAGATAGGAGATAGCAATGGTCTGGTTCAGATAGTAGAATAGCAATGGGTCTGGTTCAGATAGGAGATAGCAGTGGTCTAGTTCAGACAGGAGAAAGCAGTGTCTGGTTCAGACAGGAGATAGCAGTGGTCTGGGGTTCAGATAGGAGATAGCAGTGGTCTAGTTCAGACAGGAGATGCAGTGGTCTGGTTTCAGATAGGAAATAGCAGTGGTCTAGTTCAGACAGTAGAAAGCAGTGGTCTGGTTCAGACAGGAGATAGCAGTGTCTGGTTCAGATAGGATATAGCAGTGGTCTGGGTTCAGACAGAGAAAGCAGTGGGTCTGGTTCAGACAGGAGAAAGCAGTGGTCTGGTTCAGATAGGAGATATCAGTGGTCTGGTTCATATAGAGATAGCAGTGTCTGGGTTCAGATAGGAATAGCAGTGGTCTAGTTCAGACAGGAGAGAGCATGGGTCTGGTTCAATAGGAGATAGCAATGGTCCTGGGTTCAAAGGAGATAGTCAGTGGGGACTGGTTCAGACAGGAGATAGCAGTGGTCTAGGTTCAGACAGGAGATAGCAGTGGTCTAGTTCAGATATGAGATAGCAGTGGTCTGGTTCAGATAGGAGATAGCAGTGGTCTAGTTCAGACAGGAGAGAGCAGTGGTCTGGTTCAGATAGGAGATAGCAGTGGTCTGGTCACATACTGGGTAAACTTATACAGTACTGCTTGCTCTGATTACATGACTTGTGCCTGACAAATGTTCTGTTAATAGCTGATATTTGAAAGTATTTTTTTTATTGACTGGTATTCTGTTATCGACAGTGAAATTCAATCAAACTTAATACATTTGACACAGTGTGTTTATCAAAACTATGAATCAATTTGTGTGTTGCGTTTGCTCTGATTGTTGCTGTGGCAACGAGGAGCAAAGAACTATATCATCCACAGTGTTACCTAAGACTAATTAGTTTGACGATGCTGCTAACGACATGAGTGATAGTAGAGCCATATACAGTTCAATCGAGTACAGGCTTAACTGAATGACAACAGAGACAGAGTACAATCTGGAATTGTATTTAATAGTTTGGGGGTAGACCTCGTCTCCGAGGGAATGCTCCTCAGAGCCAGGTTGCCATATGGTGGGCAGGTGGCATCGAATCCCCCTCCCCCTTTTGCCATAAGGTTTGAGTTGACATGTGGACACCTGCTCGTCAAACATCTCATTCCAAAATCATGGGCATTAATATGGAGTTGTTCCCCCTCTTTGCTGCTATAACAGCCTCCACTCTTCCTGGGAAGGCTTTCTACTAGATGCTGGAACATTGCTGCGGGGACTTGCCTCCGTTCAGCCACAAGAGCATTAGTGAGGTCGGGCACTGATGTTGGGCGATTAGGTCTGGCTCTCAGTCGGTGTTCCAATTCATCCCAAAGGTGTTCGATGGGGTTGAGGTCAGGGCTCTGTGCAGGCCAGTCAAGTTCTTCCACACCGATCTCGACAAACCAGTTTGTGCACGGGGTCATTGTCATGCTGGAACAGGAAAGGGCCTTCCCCAAACTGTTGCCACAAAGTTGGAAGCACAGAATAGTCTAGAATATCGGAGTGCCAAGTCTAGGTCCAAAAGACTTCTCAACAGCTTCTACCCCCAAGTCATAAGACTCCTGAACAGCTAATCATGGCTACTCGAACTATTTGCACTGCAAACAAAATACAGCTAATGTAAGCTAACCATGGGTAATATTGAGTCCATGGCTCATCTGAATCGATTTTACATTCAACTGTGTCATGCTGGAATACTGAACTCCAATCTGTGTTAGAAGACTGATTTCTGAATCCTGGTAGGATTCTACGGTAGTGTAGTGGATGTTAAACTAGCCCATAGTATGTTGGCTGGAGTCCAATGGTGTGGTTCACATTCCCTGAGATCTAAAGCCAACAGAATGAAAGACTTGTCTCTCTTTGGCTTTGGATGCCTGCTGTTCGATTCAATTCGAGCCCCATTTGGCAGAACGGAATGCACCCTAAAGGAGTTAACTAACGTCCCTCCCTCTCTGTGTGTCTGTTTGCTACCAGTTACAGGACTCATAAGAACTTCCTGGCTGCCTACCTGGGTTCCGGCAGTGAGAAGGAACAGCTCCAGAAAACCACACCCTGTGACATCACAGTGTGACCATCAGCAGGTAAGACACACACCTCTCCTACACGTACCCACTAAGACTGCAACAAACCCCACACATACACACTCAGGCACGTGTGTGTGTTGTGTGTGATTGCGTCACATGAGGAAGTGTAAGAATGCAGTATTAGACTGTATTACTGATGGTGTCTCCAAACCACACACACACACACACACACACACACACCCACGTACGCTTGCCCACACACATGCTCTCTCTCTCTCTCTCTCTCTCTCTCTCTCTCTCTCTCTCTCTCTCTCTCTCTCTCTCTCTCTCTCTCTCTCTCTCTCTCTCTCTCTCTCTCTCTTCTCTCCTCTCTCTCTCTCTCTCTCTCTCTCTCTCTCACACACACACAAATGTCTAAGTCACTGTAACCTCACCCACCCACATAAATCCTGTCCCTACAGCTAAACAAACGGGCCTTTCAACATTCTCCACATATCTGTCTGTCAATCACATGAATTACAGGCTCCGCCTTGCTTTAGACTGGTCTCTGGTCTGGTCTCTGGTCTCTGGTCTCTGGTCTCTGTTCTATGATGTACCAAAGCCTTTTACATTCTTTACCCAGATTTTCCTGTCAGACTTGGATTCAAACCGGTGACCCTCAGGTTGCTGGTCCACCTCTCTAACCTCCTAGCTAACATACCTGTCCCACATCTCCTGGCTAACATACCTGTCCCACGTCTCCTGGCTAACATACCTGTCCCACGTCCCCTGGCTAACATACCTGTCCCACGTCCCCTGGCTAACATACCTGTCCCACGTCCCCTGGCTAACATACCTGTCCCACGTCCCCTGGCTAACATACCTGTCCCACGTCACCTTTCTTTTCCTGGTGGTCTTTATTACTGACAATTTGCTCTCTTCTCTTACTCTAGAGAACTTAAAGGTCTGGAACCATAATCTAGAACCATGAGAACCGGAACAACCAGAGGAGAACCGGTGCCGACTCCTGCCCAATGGAGTGATCTACTGAACAGACAGCAGAGCGCTCTGTAGAAGAACCAGCGTAGAACCGCCTTGAAGAACCACATAGAACCGCCTTGTTATTATTTATTTGATTTTACTTATTTATTGATGACAGAATTTTTGTTTTGACTGGGTTTGTGTTAGATGTGATTGGACCGTGATGTTGAGCATACCGTCCAATAATTTCACTACTAAGTTATTGCTTATTTATTGCCATGCCTCTCCTAGGGAACAACAGAGAGATGCAGGTATCGACGATACTGGACATAGATGGAATCTATCAGTTCACCAATAAAGTCCCTCAGTGTTAAGCAATGCCTTTGTGCGTGTGTGTGTGTGTGTGCGTGTGCCTGCATGCATGGGTGTATGTGGGTGCGTCCTCAGTCTTGGTTGTGTGTTTCCATTCCCTAGTCTGATCGTGTCCCATACCCCTGCCATTTGCTCACACAAACACAGCAGTCCTGTACCTAAACACAGACACACAGCAAAGGGCAGAGAGATAGAGCGAGAGTAAGAAGAGGAGAGGAAAGGAGAGAGAGCGAGAGAGAGAGAGAGAGAGAGAGAGAGAGAGATAGAGAGAGACTCTCGATCGCTCATCTCTCTCTCGCGCTCTCTCTCTCTCTCGCTCTCTCTCTCTCTCTCTCTCTCTCTCTCTCTCCTCTCTCTCGTCTCTCTTCTCTCTTCTCCGGCTAGTCTCCCTCTCTCATTCTCTCTTCTCGCCTTTCTTTCTTTCTTTCACTTTTATTTAACCAGGAAGGGCTCATTGAGATTTAAAATCTCTTTTTCAAGAGCGTCCTGGCCAAGATAGGCAGCACCAAGTCATTACAAAAAATTACAGACAGACAACATGAAAAACTACAAGTAATCTAGTAAAAACCATTCATGAATTCACAAGAGTATAACAATATCAAAAACAGCAAATTAAAAACATTGACAGGTCAGGGAATCAGCCTCAAAATCCTTCATCAGAGATTTAAAAACACCAATCGGGACAAGTTCTTCCAGTTTAAAATTATTTTGTAAGGTGTTCCAAGACGATGGCGCAGAGTACATAAAAGACCTTTTACCAAATTCAGTTCGGACATTTGGAACAGTTAGCAGGATAAAGTCCAGTGAACGAAGAGAGTACCCACCACATTTCTGAACAATAAAAATGCCCAAATAAAAAGGTAGTAAACCCAAAATGGCTTTGTAAATAAAAGTATACCAGTGACTGAGCCTACGAGTGACTAGAGAAGGCCAGCCAACCCTGGTATACAAAGTACAGTGGTGCGTAAGGGTTTTGCAGTTTAAAATAAATCTCAAAGTACCATGATAAAGAGTGTCAATTGATCTCAAACACTGAGCGGAAGCATTCATATATAAAATATCCCCATAGTCTAGTAAAGGCATAAATGTAGCTGATACTAGCCTCCTTCTGGCTTCAAAAGAAAAACAGGCCTTATTCCTAAAATAAAATCCCCATTTCAGCTTCAATTTTTTGTAAGTTGTTGAATATGCAATTTAAAAGAGAGGCCGTCATCAATTAGAATTCCAAGATATTTATATGAGGTTACAACCTCAATCTCCTTGCCCTGACAGGTAGTAACAGGTGAAAGGTTCAGAGGTCTATTTCTTGCATTAGAAAACACCATTAGTTTAGTTTTGTCAGTATTGAGGATAAGCTTCAATTGACACAAGGTATGTTGAACAGTATAAAAAGCAGTTTGCAAGTTCTGGAAAGCTTTTGTAAGAGATGAGGCACAACAGTAAATAACAGTATCATCAGCATAAAAATGAAGTTGTGCATTTTGGACATTTTTGTCTAAATCATTAATATAAATAGTGAATAAGAGAGGACCAAGTACAGAGCCCTGGGGCACACCATTCAGGACAGACAATTTAACAGACATAAGCCCATCAAATTGAGTGCACTGAGTTCTATCAGACAGATAGTTAGCAAACCATGCAACTGCATGCTCCGAAAGACCTACACTCAACAATCTCTGACAAAGGCCTTCAGCACATAGTTCCAATATTTAATTATATGCTCAGTACTATCTCTCGTTGTCTCTCTCTCTGTGATCACAAAAAAGGGATGGAATGCATTATTTATGACATCACCAAAATAGGACTTAAAAATGGAATGGAACACCACAAAGCATCCGATTCTGCAAACCCTAGAATGAGACAAAGAAGTAATATCATAGTTCTTCAAAATTATCCTGGGAGTGAATCTGGAACAAGGTGACATGAGTTGAATGAAAGGATTGGAACTATCATAAAGACACAAAGAAAATTAAAGTAGGTCACTTTCCGTGCTCTTTTATGGCATTGATCCTTATCCTTTATCTCGTTCTGGAGCCAACCTAATTATGGAAGGCGAAATAGAAGCGTCATAATCATCAAGATAGTTTGATCTCTATGGTTCATTTACTCAGTTCATGTGTGATGTCATCATCTGCGAGGAGGTCAAATACTAAGTTCATACATAAAGGTACAAAAGTCAGGAAAAACAGACAAGCTGTTTTGGGGTCAATCTCCTTGTCCCTCCCTCTTCCCACCCCTCCCGTCTCTGTCTTTCCAGTTCTCTCTCTTTCTCTCTCCCTCTCTCCGTTCTCTTTCTCTCTCCCTCCCTCCGTTCTCTTTCTCTCTCCCATCTGTCTTTCTCTCTCCCATCTGTCTTTCTCTCTCCCATCTGTCTTTCTCTCTCTGTTGTTCCCTCTGTTTTCCTGTTCACATACAGACCTCTCTGTTACCATGGTGCAGAGCTGTTTCGAATGGCAGAATGACATCCATTACAGATTGCATGAATGAGCACAAATAGCTACGGTATGTGTGTTTGTGTTAGGAGAGGGGGAGTGGCTGGGCTATTCTGAGCTACAACAATGACCAGGTGAGACGTGCTGGGGAGACACACACACACACACACACACACACACACACACACACACACACACACACACACACACACACACACACACACACACACACACAGTCTTGTACAACTAACCTTGTGTACAACTAACCTTGCGGGGACACACAATTCAGTCCCATTGAAAATCCTATTTTCCCTAACCCCTAACCCTAATCCGTACCCTAACCCTAACCCTAACCTTAACCTGAAAACCTAACCTTAACCCTAAACCTAACCGTAGCTCCTAACCTTAACCCTAAAACTAACCCAATCTCCAATCTCCTAACCCTAAACCTAATTCTAACACTAATTCTAACCTTAACCCTAAACCCCCTAGAAATAATATTTGACCTTGTGGGGACCAACAAAATGTCCCCAGTTGGTCAAATTTTTGTTTGTTTACTATTCTTGTGGGGACTTCCGGTCCAAGTACAGTATAGTTAAACACGTCCACACACACACACACACACACACACACACACACACACACACACACACACACACACACACACACACACACACACACACATACACACATACACACACACACACACACACACACACAAAGACTGAGGTATGTAACCAGAGAGGTGTCTCTAAGGCAAACACCAGAAGAGCTCAGTTGATGGTGAAATTAAAGTCATGAATGTTCACAGTCATCTCTTAAAGGCGTTATGAATTTGTTACTAAGTCAGTGATTCCCAAACTTGGGGTTGGGCCCCATGAGGTGTCCCCTGAAATGAAAATGGTGTCCCCTGAGAAAATCTATAAACTTAACAAACAAATGAAGAACATATTTTCTCTCCTCAGATGAGTATTGCATAAAACCTTTTAGTGTCAACTAAGCCTTTTACACTATTAGAATGTATTTTTTTAGTAATTATTATCTGTTGAGACAGACTGCTGGAGTGATTATGTTGAGTGAATATGTTGAGTGATTATGTAGAGTGAATATGTAGAGTGATTATGTAGAGTGATTATGTTGAGTGATCATGTTGAGTGAATATGTTGAGTGAATATGTTGAGTGATTCTGTCGCGTGCCTCTGTTGCCCTCTGTTGATGAGATCCTGGTTCGAATCCAGGCTCTGTCGCAGCCGGCCGCGACCGGGAGACTCATGGGCGCGCACAATTGGCCCAGCGTCGTCCAGGGTAGGGGAGGGAATGGCCGGCTGGGATGTAGCTCAGTTGATAGAGCATGGCGTTTGCAACGCCAGGGTTGTGGGTTCGATTCCCAAGGGGGGCCAGTATAAAAAAAAATATGTATTCACTAACTGTAAGTCGCTCTGGATAAGAGTGTCTGCTAAATGACTAAAATGTAAATGTAATTATGTAGAGTGAATATGTTGAGTGAATATGTTGAGTGAATATGTTGAGTGATTATGTTGAGTGAATACATTATGTTGAGTGAATATGTTGAGTGAATATGTTGAGTGATTATGTTGAGTGAATATGTTGAGTGAATATGTTATGTTGAGTGAATATGTTGAGTGAATATGTTGAGTGATTATGTTGAGTGAATATGTTGAGTGAACATGTTGAGTGAATATGTTGAGTGAATATGTTGAGTGAATATGTTGAGTGAATACATTATTTTGAGTGAATATGTTGAGTGAACATGTTGAGTGATTATGTTGAGTGAATACATTATTTTGAGTGAATATGTTGAGTGAACATGTTGAGTGATTATGTAGAGTGAATATGTTGAGTGAATACATTATTTTGAGTGAGCATTTTGAGTGAATACATTATTTTGAGTGAATATGTTGAGTGAATATGTTGAGTGAATATGTTGAGTGATTATGTTGAGTTAATATGTTGAGTGAATTTGTTGAGTAACTATGAACACAGTGTTAACCAGGAAATTAATGGGGTCCCCTGCATGTTCTAGTGTCAATTTGAGGTTGTGTGCAGTGTGCAGAACAGGTTTGGGAACCGCTGTACGAAGCCTAATAAGGTGTATTAAATGCTGCATCATCTCATGGCCATATTTGGACTGCTGTTTTATTGCGCTGTCTTTTACTGACCCATGTCACGCAGTGTGCAAAACGTGTGTGTGTGTCTGTGTGTGTGTGTGTGATCCATCAAGATAAGAGTGGGCAGTCTAACTGGGGGAAAGGGGACTGCAGGTGAGTGTGGCTACAAGGAATCACTCAGGTGATGCAGCCAGTCAGCCAGTTGGCCAGTCAGTCAGCCAGTCAACCAGTCAACCAGTCAACCAGCCAGTCAGCCAGTCAGTCAGCCAGTAAGTCAGTCAGTCAGCCAGTCAGTTAGCCAGTCAGCCAGTCAGTCAGTCAGCCAGTCAGTCAGCCAGTCAACCAGTCAGTCAGCCAGTCAGCCAGCCAGCCAGCCAGCCAGCCAGCCCATTCAGCCAGTAAATCAGCCAGCCAGCCAGTCAGCCAGTCAGTCAGTC